TTCTGTGGCTGTTTGCGGTCCGGTACGCTGCGCATCAGCTCAACCTCTGGCCCCGTGTCTCCTTGCCGGAGACTTCGCCGACACTGCGTTGGACGGGGGAGGTTGGCGATGCGTCGGTCTTCCGGGTCTGGGGCTCTCGTGCCTTTGTTCGCAATACGTCCGCGGACAAGCTCTCCGCCCGCGCTATTCCTTGCGTCTTCCTTGGATTTCCCCCTGACGCGCCTGGCTGGCAGTTTTACCACCCCACCTCGCGCCGTGTCTTCCCCTCCCAGGACGACACATTTGACGAGTTGGCTCCCTTCTACCGTCTCTTCCCCTACCGCTCTGCCCCTCCCCCACCCCTGCCGCTCTTCCTTGCTCCAGGTCCCCCTCCGATAGACCCCCTCCCCCCCCCAGGGTTTTGCTCCCTCCGGTGTGTCTTAGGTAGACCCTCTCCCTGGTACGGTGCCTGTTGAGGTAGCTGTCGGCTCAGGTGCTGCTCGAGGTGGTGCGTCTGGGGGTGCTGCGTCTGGGGGTGCGGAGCCTGGGGGTGCTGAGTCTGAGGGTGCCGGGTCTAGGGGTGCTGAGCCTGGGGGTGCGGAGCCTGGGGGTGCTGAGCCTGCGGGTGCGGAGCCTGGGGGTGGTGAGCCTTGCGGGTGTTGAGCCTGGGGGTGCTGAGTCTGAGGGTGCGGAGTCTGGGGGTGCTGAGCCTCGGGGTACTGCTTCTTCTGGAGGTCGTGCGGGTTTTTTGCCACGACTGTCTCCCCGACCGGAGCCTCTCTCCCCGCTGCAACTTCGCGAGTGGTTTGCTCAGCGCACCTGCCTTCGGAGTGGAGCTGCAGGAGCTGCAGTCTGTGCCGCTGGTGACACTGGAGCTGGAGGTGTTGGAGTTAGTGCTGGAGCTGGTGGTACCGGAGGTACTGCAGCTACTGGTCCTGGAGGTGCTCGTACCAGGGGTACTGGAGCTGCCGGGACTGGTAGTGTTGGGGGCGCTGGAGCTGGAGGAGCTGGAGCTGGAGACCCTGCGGAGCCCGGAGGCGCTGGTGTTGGAGGCACTGGAGCTGGTGGCGCTGGAGCTGCTGGAGGAGCTCGAGTTGGTGACACTGGAGCTGCTGGAGCTGGAGCTGGAGGTGCTGGCGCTGGTGGCGATGGCGCTGGAGGAGCTGGAGCTGGAGACACTGGGACTGTTGACCCTGGAGGTGGAGGTGCTAGAGCTGGGGGTGCTTTTTCTGGCGGTACTGGTGCTGGAGGCACTGTGTGGCCACGACCGTACTTCGTTCCCCTACTTCATTAAGTTCTTGGTCTCCCGTCTTCTACTCGCCTTACTCCTCCCTTACTGTGTCCACCGCCTGACCAGTCACAGCCACCGTTACAGCCAGCCTCCCCACTGCCTGCTCCTTCTCCTTACACTGAGCAGACTCGTGGTCTTACAGAGCGTCGTGAGCCTGAGTCTCGTCCTGCCTCGCCTGTTCGCGCAGTTCGCACTGGTCGTAGGGTTCCTCGTCCACGTCCTCCTCCTGTCCCCGGCACTCACGCTATGGCACTTCGTCCTTCCTCTGTTCCACTGCGTGTTCCTCTGCCGCCTCCTCCTGAGTCCTCTCTTCCTGCCGTCCATGACCCTGACACTGACCTTGCTCGTGCTGCCAGTCCCACTGTCTCTCGTCTCCTTGCCACTGTTGTCACTAACCCCTCTTTTGAGTCCACTGCTGCGTCTGCCCTCGTTGCTGAGCTAGTTGACTTTGCTGCTGCCTGTCGTCTAGACTACGCCACTGCTCTTGTTGCTGAGTCTGGGTCTGCTAGTCCTCCGTCCGTCGGGGGTGAGTGTGCTCTTGACACGGACGTCCTTGAGAACAGGCAGGAGGACCTTGAGTGTCTTGCAGCTGCTATACCTCGTTTCGCTTCCATGCTGCTTGCCCGTGAGGGAGACCCGGATGCACCAGACGTCCCGACCCCGCGCTCTTACGCAGAAGCGATCACGGGTCCTTACTCCTCTCAGTGGCAGGCAGCCATGGATGCCGAGATGGCATCCTGGAAGTCCATAGGCACCTACGTCAACGCAGTTCCCTCGTCTTGGGCAAACATAGTCGATGGCATGTGGATTGTCATGGTGAAGCGGCCGCCGGGTTCTCCGCCTGCCTTCAAGGCGCGTTACGTTGCTAGAGGTTTTAGTCAGCGACAGGGGGTCGTTTAATTCCAGACCTTCTCCCCCACCCCGAAGATGACTACTCTTCGAGTGTTGCTGCACGTCGCTGCTCGGCGTGACTACGAGTTGCACTCTCTGGACTTCAGTACAGCTTTCTTGCAGGGCAGCCTGCACGAGGAGATCTGGCTGCGCTGCCCATCTCGCTTCACTGGGTCGTTTCCTACAGGTACCCAGTGGAGCCTCCGGCGGCCAGTCTACGGTCTCCGCCAGGCGCCTCGCGAGTGTTACAACACACTGAGGACTACGCTTGCGGCTCTGGGGTTTACTCCTTCTACTGCTGACCCGTCGCTGTTTCTACGCACCGACACCTCGCTGCCGCCGTTCTATGTCCTCGTGTACGTCGACGACCTCGTCTTTGCCACTACTGACACTGAGGCACTGACCCTTGTGAAGTCGGAGCTGCAGAAGAGACACACCTGCACTGACCTGGGTGAACTGCGCAGCTATCTTGGCCTGCAGATCACCCGGGACAGAGCACGGCGCACCATCACCCTGACTCAGTCACACATGGTGCACGAGGTCCTTCAGCGCTTCGGCTTCCAGTTCTCCTCACCACAACCCACTCCTCTGTCTACCGGCCACTCGCTCTTAGCTCCACCTTCGGACGAGTCCATAGAGCCGAGTGGTCCGTACCCAGAGCTTGTGGGTTGCCTCATGTACCTGATGACGTGCACACGACCTCACCTCGCGTACCCTCTCAGCCTCCTGGCTCGCTATGTGGCTCCCGATAGGCACCGAAAGGTGCACTGGGATGCTGCGAAGAGGGTACTGCGTTATTTGTGCAGTACGTCGGGCATGGGGCTCGTGCTTGGAGGACGGGGTCCAGTTGTCCTCACTGGACACGCAGACGCTTCTTGGGTTGACGACTCAGCTACGCAGCGGTCGTCATAGGGTTACACCTTCAGCCTTGGTTCCGGCTCTGTTTCCTGGCGGTCTACCCACTCTTCTTCGGTTCTTAGCTCTAGTTGTGAGGCTGAGATCTACGCAGGAGCCATGGCTGCACAGGAGCTACGCTGGCTCACCTACCTGCTGACTGACTTGGGAGAGCAACCTCGTTCGCCTCCAGTCCTGTACGTAGACAACAAGGCCATGATTGCCTTGTGTCAGGAGCACAGACTGGAGCACAGAACGAAGCACATCGCTCTGCGATACTTCCTTGTTCGAGAGTTGCACCAGCGTGGCCAGCTTCGTCTTGCGTACGTGGCCACTAGGGCCAACAGTGCTGATATATTCACCAAGGCACTTCCGCCAGGTGATAATCAGCGCTTCTCTACTGTGTTAGGCCTTGTGCCTACTTTGCCTCACTTGCTCACTACGTGACTTTGCTTGTACTGTGATCTATATATATACCGTAATCACCCGGACATACCACCCGCCGAAATTGTAGACCCCCCGGGTGGCTTGTGCGGGGTGGGTGTTATAGTTGACCCCGTTTGTACTATACCCCCCCTTTTGGGGTGATTTTTTATAACACCCCCTTTTTTACACAGAATGCCTTATTTTAGGTGTTAACGAGTATGTGCAATGACGGGGGGACATCGCGACGATCACTTTTTGCACGAAATTACATGGTTATTTCGAAAGTATCTGCTGCGGTCACCTCCGTCCCACTTTTTCAGTGCTACCAAGTGGTAGTTCTTTCGCTATCAAGTGGCCAAAGAGGTGCCATCTCGCAACTTCAAGGAGGAGTCAATGTTGTCGTCGAAACTGACAATCTCGCTTCCAACTGTGATGCTAAACCAACCTTGAAAACATCCAAGCTGCCTATTTATAGAAACCCTTACACTAAAAAAATGTCATATATATGCATCCGGGTGGTATGTAGCTTTTTCCTATGAGAAGACCCCCCCCATTTTTTTGCTGTATTTAAAGTAAGACCCTAGGGTGTTATGTCCGGGTGATTACGGTACCTGCATGCTTACACTTGCTAGGGTATGATCACAGTATTGTTTGTTCTCTTTTATATAACTCTGCATGTGAACTGGCCTTATGGCTTTCTGCTTGTGCTCGGACTGTGTGGTGACTTCGTGATCCACCCTGAGCTTGCTTTGTTTTTCTTGACTGGTCTTGTGACCACTTGTTCTCCCCCACTTTGCCTATGGGGGTGTGTCAGAATGTTTTATTGCTTATATTTGTGTAGGCTATAGTGGGGTAGCCGATAAGGGGTACAACCCAATTAGAGTTAGTGCTTGTACCCAACTCTTTCATAGTTCATTCATTCCTCGTTCGTTAGTCTGACAGAATGCCAATCGACCTAGCTAGCCATGTACTAAGGGGTACATTCCCTTATTACAGCGAATTTTAATCGTGTGACCCCAGACGGTTACCAGCTGCCTGGGCAGAATCCTCGCCATTGCTGTTGCTGCCTGATGCTGTCTGCCCAGCGGTCCAGATCATTTCGTAATCGTGCGTCCCTTCGCATTACTTCTGTCCTTTCGCCTTCGACCTTGGTAGTGTGTGCTTCGATTACTGCGGTAAGGAGTGCACAGTACTGCTTTCATCTTTTACTATTCGAAACAGCCTCATCCTGTTTGTGTAACGGCTGTTCATGCTCTTCTATGTTTCACACTAGAGTCGCGAAGCTCTCTTCCTACCACATGGTGAAGGTGGATGGAGATGCATGGTTTTTTTTGTACGTCCATCGCTTACCATGTACCTATGTAACCATGCTCATGTTTGGACCTATTCTGGACCCTGCACTACGCAAACGCCAGCTACCATACTTCGGAAACAAAACTTGGATGTTACAACCAGTGACCCCCGCTACTATGGTATGTGTACTGCTGCTGGTCTAACGTGGGCTAAACTGGGAATGCGATTATGATTCCCCAGCAGAATCTGCTTCAGCTGCAGCATCAGACCCGCCTTCCTCCCCCTTATCTTCACCAGTGCCCTCCCTGCCTCCGTTGCTCTCCTCCACCTGCTTGCTCTGCACTGAACCACTTCCACCCGTGGGCGGCAGCTTTGACTTGCTTTGCTTATCCTTGAACCCTGGAGCTACAGGACGACGGATCCCACCCGAAATGACAAAAGGGGTAGGGGGGACATTTTCCTCAGTTCCCGTTGGTGCAACCCCACCTGCCCCTGCTGCTGCTGATCCTCCAATAACAAGCGCCGGCTTCTTCAACAGTTTACCAGACTCGGTAGTTCCAGCAGTAGCCTGTGCTGCAGCTGCAACAGCCATGTCTGGCCTTTCTGCTGCTCCTGCTGCTGCCATTGTACCAGCAACAGCAGCAGAAGCAGCAGCAGGAGCGGAAGCAGCAGCAGCAGTTGAGCTTGCAGCAGAAAAGCTTGAGAGTGGGGCCACGACCACCGTACCAGGGAATGCCGAGCCTCTGCCTGCCGCAGCAGCTTCGGCAGAGGCCCATGAGTCAGGGGACTTGCCGAGCCTCTGCACGCGGAGCACAGTTGGGTGGTCCAGAGACAGGCTCGGGCGGGCGGAGGCTCGGACCGAAGCTACGAGCGACTCAAGTTCAGCGAGAAGAGAGCGCATTTGAGCCTGCTTTGGAGCATCCTCACTGGAGAGAACGTGTGGCGGGAGGGAGGCTTGAAAGTTATGAGGGTGATGGGTGGGAGTGAAAAACATCACGGCTTACGTGTCATTGAGGTTTACCATTGTAAAGTAGCGCTATGGAAGCAATGGAAACCGAATGATTGTAAGATGATAGAGGTTTTCCATGTATAAATGGTTTAGCAAACAAAAGGGTGGGTTTGCAGGATCAAAAGAGGCCTATGCCAGCCAAGATTCCATGCACGCGTGCTATGACGGTGTTAGCTCTGGATGAAAAAAAGAGAATGTAACACAATGACCTTTATAGCATGGCTGAGCAACGTGTTAGTTTGAGAGGGGAGAGGATCAGTTGGTCAGGAGAAGCATTACCTAGGGGGAAGAGTGTCCAGCCAGGCCCTGATCTCCCGCATGGCTATCTCGGCCTCCCCAATGCACCGCTTCACCTGTGAGGAGGCATGGGGGCACATGGTCATGAGCGGTCACAGGTGAGGGATGAGTGGGCTTGTTGGCACATGGCCAGGTGAATGATACTGGCCCTGATCTCCCGCATGGCTATCTCGGCCTCCCCAATGCACCGCTTCCCCTGTGAGGAGAGGGAGTGATGGGGCAGACGGTCGCGTGCATGTGGATGGCACGTGGATGGTTGATGGATGATTGATGGATGGTTGATGGATGGTTGATGGATGGTTGATGGATGGTTGATGGTTGATGGATGGTTGATGGATGGTTGATGGTTGATGGATGGATGATGGATGGTTGATGGTTGATGGATGGTTGATGGTTGATGGATGGTTGATGGATGGCACGTGGATGGTTGATGGATGGTTGATGGACAGACTTGCGCCAGCATCAAGCTGAAGCGAGGGCAAGTACACACGTATTTCTGGATGATGGATGATGGATGATGGATGATGGATGATGGATGATGGATGATGGATGATGGATGATTGATGGTTGATGGATGATGGATGATTGATGGTTGATGGATGATGGATGATTGATGGTTGATGGTTGATGATTGGTTGATGGTTGATGGATGGATGATGGATGGTTGATGGTTGATGGATGGTTGATGGATGGCACGTGGATGGTTGATGGATGGTTGATGGATGGATGATGGATGGTTGATGGATGGTTGATGGTTGATGGATGGATGATGGATGGTTGATGGTTGATGGATTGTTGATGGATGGCACGTGGATGGTTGATGGATGGTTGATGGATGGATGATGGATGGTTGATGGATGGTTGATGGTTGATGGATGGTTGATGGTTGATGGTTGATGGATGGTTGATGGTTGATGGATGGTTGATGGTTGATGGTTGATGGATGGTTGATGGTTGATGGTTGATGGATGGTTGATGGTTGATGGTTGATGGATGGTTGATGGTTGATGGTTGATGGATGGTTGATGGTTGATGGTTGATGGATGGTTGATGGATGGTTGATGGATGGTTGATGGATGGTTGATGGATGGTTGATGATTGATGGATGGTTGATGGTTGATGGTTGATGGTTGATGGTTGATGGATGGTTGATGGATGGTTGATGGATGGTTGATGGTTGATGGATGGTTGATGGTTGATGGTTGATGGTTGATGGATGGTTGATGGATGGTTGATGGTTGATGGATGGTTGATGGTTGATGGTTGATGGTTGATGGTTGATGGTTGATGGATGGTTGATGGTTGATGGTTGATGGTTGATGGATGGTTGATGGTTGATGGTTGATGGTTGATGGATGGTTGATGGATGGTTGATGGATGGTTGATGGATGGTTGATGGATGGTTGATGGATGGTTGATGGATGGTTGATGGATGGTGGATGGGGGTCAGACTTGCGCCAGCATCAAGCTGAAGCTAGGGCAAGTACACACGTATTTCCCGAAAACGTACTGAACAGCAGCTCACTACACTGAACCACACCGCACAGCACCCACCTGTATCTCAGCTGCCATGTATCGTTCTTCCCACTGCAGCCTTCTGTGCTTGCTGTCTGACACTGCCCCGTCCTTGCCCTCCTTCTCTGCTTGTTCCCTGGTGTTGGAGGATCAGAGGTGGAGAGGGACAGGGGTGCAAACGGAGGGGGGTTGGGGAGGGTAGAAAACAAGCACTGCAACCGCCTGTGCCTGCTGTCTGACACTGCCCCATCCTTCCCCTCCTTCTCTTCTTGTTCCCTGGTGTTGGAGGACTGGTGTTTTGGAAAGGAAGGAGAGAGAGGGAGGGAGGGAGGGAGGAAGAGGGAAGGTAGAGGGGGAGAGAGTGAAGCGAGACGAGGGGCAGCGGCAAGCAAAGAAGACCACCAGAGTTTGCGCTAAATCCCTCCTTTAATTGGCATATTCTCCATCATGCCAGTGTGATTCCACGTGCGCTCACCTCTTGGCTCTGATACCATCAAGCCGCTCAACTATCGACTTGGCCGACTGCCCAAAGGCTTCCAACTCCAACCGCATGTGGGCTTCCAGCTCAGGCTGAAAGATGAGTGTGCTACTGCCGTGACGGCAAATTTCTAGACCAGACTCACCTCTTGGCTCTGATACCATCAAGCCGCTCCACTATCGACTTGGCCGACTGCCCAAAGGCTTCCAACTCCGACTGCTCAACAATGGGTGCATAATGAGGCGAGAGGGGGTGAGAATGGAGGGAGGAAGGGAGGGGGGGGGGGGAGGCAGGGAGGGGGGGGAGGGAGGGAGGGAGGGAGGGAGGGAGGGAGGGAGGGAGGGAGGGAGGGACGAGAGAGGGAGTGAGGGTGGGAGAGAAATGGAGGGAGGGAAGTAAAATGTCAAAAAAACTTTCAAGAGAGCATAAATGGGAGGAAATAAGGAAGACTCTAGCAATGCACTCACCTTACACAGCCGCACGTGCCCCTGAGCCATCTCCCAGAACCGGCTCTTGCGGTCAGGCATGAGCACTTTTCCGAACCCCAAACACGTTCGGGTCAAGCATGTTCGACCCACTATTTTTGGGAATAACGTTCGCCCGAACATGTTCGGTGTTCGAAAAGTTCTAAGGGGAAATTCCCGAACACCAAACATGTTCGGGAAGTTTCCCCGCTTTTCCGAACATTAGCTGTTCGGAAAAAACCAGCGCGACAATTTCCTACGGAAAGCATAGATTGAGGTCATTTCGACCTCGATCTACCTTTTAAGGTTAAGTACAGAGCAGTAAGGATTAGTAGGCTCATTTCCAGGCCAATTCCACCCAACTTAACGGTTCCTTATGGAAACTTAGGTTAATAAGTCGTTTTTTAAGAAGTTAGGGTTTAAAAGGATGATCTGCCAACGACTCCAGTCCTAAAAAAGCAGAAACCTTTGGTTATTTAAGGGCTACACTATCGTTCGTAGAATTGCGATTTTAAGCCTTCATGGCGAAGGATCGGGTGGGAGGTGCAAGGGCGGATGGGGGAGGCGAATCTGCTAAGTCCTTATTTTCGAACACCAAACATGTTCGGAATTGGCCGAATATGTAGATGTTCAGCGAACCTAGACATGTTTGCCCACACTAACCAAACACCGAACATCGAACATGTTCGGTTCGGCCAATTTCGATGTTCGGGGACGTTCGGGCGAACACGTTTGGTGTTCGCCCGTTGCTCATGCCTACTTGCGGTCACTGATCTCCTCTCTCATCGGCCTCTCCTTGCCTTCCATGCTCGCCTGCTAGTCCCAGTCTCTACTACAACGCTCTTCACTCAGTAAGAGTAAATGAGAGACTCTAGCAATGCACGCACCTTACACAGCCGCACATGCCCCTGTGCCATTTCCCAGAACCGGCTCTTGCGGTCGCTCATCTCCTCCCTCATCTGCCGCTCCTTGCCCTCCATGCTCGTCTGCTGGCCTGGCCATACCGCATCCTCTAATCAGAGTGATGGCAAAAGTGAACAACTAGACTAAACTAAATCAAAAGTACACGCACCTTGCAGAGCCGGACATGGCCCTGTGCCATCTCCCAGAACCGGCTCTTGCGGTCACTCATCTCCTCCCTCATCTGTCGCTCCTTGCCCTCCATGCTCGCCTGCTGCAGCTGCCACGACTGCTGCAGAAACTGCTTCCATTCTGACAGCGCCTTGGCGTCCTCCTCGTGCTCAGAGAGGGAGTGCGTGAGGGAATCCTCCTGTTGGGGGGGAGTTAAGATTGAGATTCCATGATTAAGGACACTGTCTGCTGCAGGAAATGCTTCCATTCTGCCAGGCCTTGGCGTCCTCCTCGTGCTCGAAGAGTGTATGCATGAGGGATTCCTCCTGTTGTTTATACAGGGGGTGTGTGGAAAGAATGGGTGCTGGGTGAGGGATGTGCATGACTGCTGCAGGAACTGCTTCCGCTCTGCCGGCGCCTTGGCATCTTCCTCATGCTTGAAGAGGGAGTGCGTGAGGGACTCCTCCTGTTGTTGATCATGGGTTTGGAAATAATGGTAGCTGGTATATTGCATGCATGACTGCTGCGTGCAGGAATTGCATTCACCCCTGCACGGCCACGTGATAAAAGTTGTATTTTGAGACGTCTCAAAACACCCCTGCACGGCCTTGGCATCCCCTCCCCTCCCCATGATCACTAGTCCCCCACTCACAAGTCAACCATTCAGGCACGTCAAGCTTAGCATAAAAATGGTTACCGAGCTTTAAGCAAACTACCATTACGTACTCAGGCTTTAACTTCAAGCATCCCATGCTCACCTCTGAGGATAAGTGAGCCTCGATCCCACTGCTGGCCTGCAAGAAGAGCTCCTTCTCCTCCTCCAGCTTCACTGGCCGCGGATTCACTCCTGAACAATGCTGGGGACACTAATAGCCCACCTTCAGTGCTCACCTCTGAAGATAAGTGAGCCTCAATCCCACTGCTGGCCTGCGAGAAGAGCTCCTTCTCCTCCTCCAGCTTCACTAGCCGCCGATTCACGCCGTCCAATGCCGCCTGCACCCGCCTCAGCTCCTCCTCCAGCTCCTCCTTGCGCTTCTGCACCTGCTGGGCCTCCGAAAGAAGTACCTGGAGGTTGGTGTGTGTGGTAGGGGCATGGGGGAGTAAGCAGGGCAATGAGAACAGGGAGGGAAGCAGAGCCGCCTGCACCTGCCTCACCTCCTCCTCCAGCTCTTCTTTGCGCTTCTGCACCTGCTGAGCTCCCGCCAGGAGTACCTGTGAGTGCGGTGGGAGGCGGCAGGGGAGTAAGCATGAGAAAGATGATAATAGGGAAGGAAGTGGAGCCCCCTGCACCTGCCTCACCTCCTCCTCCAGCTCCTCCTTTCGCTTCTGCACCTGTTGAGCTTCAGCCAGGGCCCAGGAGTACCTGTGAGTGTGGTGGGAGGCGGCAGGGGAGTAAGCATGAGAAAAATGAGAATAGGGAAGGCCGCCTGCACCTGCCTCGGCTCCTCCTCCAGCTCCTCTTTGCGCTTCTGCACCTGTTCTGTTGGGCCTCCGCCAGGAGTACCTGGTGTAAGGGATTGTGTGCATTGGGATAGGGGATGAGTGGGGTGTGGCAGGGTCAGCTCCTCCTCTCACTTCTGCACCTGCTGGGCCTCCGCCAGGAGAACCTGGCGCGAACGGTCGTGTGTGTAGTGGGGGCGCGAAGAGAGGGGGGTATGGGATAAGTGGAAACAGGGTCAGCTCCTCCTCTCGCTTCTGCACCTGCTGGGCCTCCGCCAGGAGAACCTGGCGCGAACGGCCGTGTGTGTAGTGCGGGCGCGAAGAGAGGGGGGAATGGGATAAGTGGAAACAGGGTCAGCTCCTCCTCTCGCTTCTCCACCTGCTGGGCCTCTGCCAGTGGTACCTACCCGGGGAGGGAGTGTGTGGTGGGGTGAGCGAGGGGTCTAAGCGGGGCAATGAGAATAAGGAAGGAAGCAGAGACACCTACACTCGACTCAGCTCCTCATTTTGCTTCCACCTCGCCTGGGCCTCAGCGCGGATGAGCTGGGGTTGGTGTGTGTGTGGGTGGGTGGGGCCTGCTCGTCACCTTCGAGCGTATGTTTTTTGAGAATTCTAAAAACATACGCTCGACTCAGCTCCTCCTTTCACTTCCACCTCTCCTGGGCCTCAGCGGGGATGAGCTGGTGTTGGTGTGTGTGTGGGTGGGTGGGTGGGGCCTGCTCCTCACCTTCTCGACCTCCCGGGTCTCCTGGGCCTTGGTGCTGCAGTACGCCAGAGCCACCTGGCGCTGCTGAACCTCCTCACTTCGTCACCTCCTCACCTCTCCAACACCTCACCCCTTCCTCCCTCACCTTCTCGGCCTCGCGGGCCTCCTGCGCCTTGCTGCTGCGGTACGCCAGGGCCTCCTGGCGCTGCTGGCGGCACTCCTCAGCCTTCCTCCGGAGCCCCTCCATGCTCTCACTCAGCTCCGCTGCCAGACAGCTCACCCGCTCCACCTTCAGCGCCCTATCCCCCGGCGTGTCCCCCAGCTGTAACAAGGCTTCCTTTTTCTTTTCTAGGGCCAGGAGGCGCAGACCCAGGCGAAGCGCGTCGCGCGACCGTGCGGTTACCACCTCGTTCACGTGCGTTACGGCGTCGCGCGTGGGTGGTGGTGGGCTAGATATTGTGTGTACTGTTGGGGTAGTTGCTGTGTTTGCTGCTGGTTCTGATTGAGTGTTGGTAGGTTCGACGGTCGTGGCAGGCTCGGCGGCAGCTCCATCAGCTTCGGCCGGAGCAGCAGGTTCGGAAGCGGAGGCAGCGCCAACAGCATCAGTCGAGGCTTGTACACCAGCATCATCAGCACCACTGCCAGCAGCACCATCACCACTGCCAGTAGGAGCGGCACTACTAGTAGCATCAGCAGCATCAGACACAACAGCAACGGCAGCAGCACCGTCTGCAACATCAGAAGAAGCACCGGCATTGGCAGAAGCGGCAGCATTGGCATCAGCAGCAGCAAGATCGTCAGCCTCAAAGGCAGCAGAGAGGGAGGCAGAACGCTGGTATGCTGCAGGCACAGAGGCGGCAACAGAGGCAGCCTCAGCTATGAGTTGCTGCAAGCGACACGACTCCAGGTCAACCCTGGGAAGGGGAGGAATGGATGAGAGAGGGCACACAGATGGAAGGGATACAGCATAGGGATTGGAGGCGGCGGAGCGCTGGTGTGCTGCAGGCAAAGAGGCGGCAACCAAGGCAGCCTCAGCCATGAGGTGCTGCAAGCGACACGACTCCAAGTCAACCCTGGGGAAGGGGAGGAATGGATGAGACGAAGGAGGGCACACAGTTGGAAGAATGGAGAGGGAGAGCGTAAAGGATGGAGAGGAAGAGCGCAATTGTGGATAAGCAGTAGATGCGACCTGAGCAATGATCGAGTGAATCGAGCAGTAGATCTGCAGCTTAATCGTGAATCGAGTCGGAACCTTGAGAGGAACGATGTGAAGGGAGGGCTTATTGAGAAAAGGGGTTACTGCAAGGTGATTGGCACAGGAGGGGCTATGTGAGATGAGAGACCTCATGATGATTGACGCGAATGGGGAGGTCGTGCCAACCATCACGAGGTCTCTCATCTTCGCACAGGAGGGGCTGTGTGACTATGTGACATCACGAAACGAAGATGAGAGACCTCATGATGATTGACGCGAATGGGGAGGTCATGTCTTGCAGGTGAGAGTCAACGCGGCCGAGAGCTCTGTACTTGCGACTGCCTGCCACCATTACTTTTTAAAGCCGACGCCACACTGGGACTACCACCCATCACACCGCACTGCACACCTCTCAAACTCGGGCTTGACCTTTCGCACTGCGTTTGCATTGCTCTGCCCGCCACCATTCCTTGTAAAATCAGCTCAACGCGCCCTAACCCACCACACTGCACTCCACGCCTCTCCTGTCTCACCACACCGTACTGCACACCTTTCAATCTCGGGGTTGACCTTCAACCCTGTAATTGCCTCTGCTACCATCGTGGCCAAATCATCACTTGGCAGCTGGCAGTGGGAGTGGCAGGGTAGGGAAGCGGGGAATAGGGAGGGGAGGAAGAGTTTTGAAGTTGAAACGACTGGAAACAAGCTGCCGAATCGTCACTGTATAGCTGACGATGGTGGGAGTGGGGAGGGGGAGCAAGGGAGTGGAGAGTGAAGAGGACGAGCGACAGTGGAGAGAGGAGTGAACGAAAGGGGGGGGAGTGGGGAGTGGGGAGTGGGGGGAGTGGGGAGGGCGAGGGAGGAGAGGACGATGTGATGAAGAGGGAGGGAGTGGTAAGAGGTGAGGAAGAGGGAAGGGAGGAGGAAGTTATGAAGGAGGGCCACAGCAGCAGATGGGAGAATGTGGAAGTGATGCAGAAACGCAGAAAAAAAGAAGTATTTTTTCCTTACTTCTTTCTTGTTATTCTTCCCCCCCCCCCCCCCCTCCCCCCCACCCCACACACGTCCTTCCCCACCCTTTCTCACGTTTCCCCGCCTTCTCTTCACCCTCCCCACCCTTCAAAGAATTGTTGAGAAGGTAATCGCACCTTGAGTTCGGAGTAAGCAGAGAGGGAGGAGCCAAGTGACTGCAGGGCTGCGAGCAGATCATTGCACTGGGTTGAGGAGAGGTTCAGACAGAGGCTGGGAGGTGCGCAGAGGAGTGTAGAGGGGTGCAGGGGGGGGCAGTGGGATACAAAAGGGCGCAGAAGAGAATGAAGCAGGTATGGTATGGAGAGACGGAATTGGCAGCGGAGACGAGCATGCGCAGTGAGCAGCTCATTGCACTGGGTGGAAGCAAACGACAGGAGGAGTCCGGGAAGGTGTAGAGGCCTTCAGAGAGGTTCAGAGCAGTTCGGAGAAATTCGGAGAGGTTTGAAAGGGAATGACATGGTGCACGGTGACAGAGTTGGCAGCAGAGAAAGGGCTAGGTGGCTCGTGGAACATGGACCCGACTTGCATTGCAAAGAGAGGGGCACGTGGAGCATGCAGGCAGTGAGCAGTAATGAATCAATGACTGACTTCACCCATTCCCCATTCCCGTGCCTTGCAGTGAGCAGATTTGAAACACCTCCCGCATATCCCCCTTCCCCACACTATCTCTCACCCAAATCGCCCTCTCAGCAGCGCCATCTCCTCCTTGTCACCCGGCGCCACCACCACCGACGCCATCGTAAGTGCTGCTGACCTGAGACAACCCTAACCCTTCCTATGCAACCCCTTGCTTCCTCTCCCCTCCCACTCCCCCTCACCCTTTTTCCCCTCCCACTCCTTTCCCTCTTCCCCATTCTCCTCTGATTCTCACCCGAACAGCCCTCTCAGCAGTGCCATCTCATCCTTGTCCCCCGGCGCCACCACCACTGACGCCACTATGAGCTCCAGGGTCTAGAGTGCAATGCTCACCTGAGAGTCAGTCCAACCCCTTCCCACGCACCCCTCCCTCCCCCTCCCTTCACCCTCACCCTCCCCTTCAAATCCCCTCCCCCATTTCTCACCCAAACAGCCCTCTCAGCAGCGCCATCTTGTCCTCATCCCCCGGCGCCACCACCACGGACGCCACTATGAGCTCCAGAGCACTGGAGCGCAGAAACACGTCTCAGACCGCTGCTGACCTGACCAGAGACGGCCCACGCCCTTCACACAGCAACCTTGCCCCACCCCCCCTCCCTCCTTTCTTCCCAGGTACTCACCCGAAGAGCCCTCTCAGCAGCGCCATCTCGTCCTCATCCCCCGGCGCCACCACCATCGACGCCACTATGAGCTCCAGAGCACTGGAGCGCAGAAATACGTCTCTGAAGTTGAGGGCTTCGTTGCCCGCGTCTGGGTCATAAAAAAGAACCTGGGAAGGAGTGGGGGGAAGGGGGGAGAAGGGGGAGAGGAAGAAAGGAGGGCAAAGGGAGAAGAAACGGGGGCAAAGGGAGAAAAAAGGGGGGCAAAGGGAGAAGAAAGGGGGGCAAAGGGAGAAGAAGGGGGGCAAAGGCAGAAGAAAAGGGGGCAAAGGGAGAAGAAAGGGGGGCAAAGGGAGAAGACATGGGGGCAAAGGGAGAAGAAATAACGTTCTTCGATTGAATTTGAGAAATTCATTGCCCAGTCAGGAAGAACTCTCAGGCATATCTGCACTGTACTGCTAGGAGTCGTTCCACTGCACCTCAAGACCGCACTGCACTGCACTGCACTGCACTGCACCCAGGGCATTGCTCCGCTCACCATGGAAGCCCGTCCAGTTGATGCTGACTTTGACAATGGCGGTGCTCCCTCATCTTGTGACGATCCATCCCCTACCGACGCCACCTCCTCCGCTTCTTCTCCTGCTGCTGCGATATCACCCGCTTCTGCTGACTTGCTACCTACTTGTGGTTCCGCTTCTGCTCCATCTCCCACAACCCCATCCTTAGATTTTCCAACTGATTCTGCTGCTACTGACTCCGTCTTCCCCTGAGCCCCATCGGTCTGTACCTGTGATGATAATCCTGCCTCCACACCTTCTGCTTCCCCATCTTTGGCCTGGTTACCCTCTGTAACACTGGCATGATCCTTGCCTTCGTCATCAGCTCTGTCAGCAACTGCCCCCTCCGCTCCTACTCCTTCCGTTCGCCCTGAGCTCACAGCAGCACCAGCATCACTGGCGCCAGCTTCAGCAGCCGCCCCAGCAGCCCCAGTAGCAGCAGAACCTTCAGCACTAGCAGCAGACTCTGCTGTCACCTCCTCCTGCTGGTTCCCTCCCTGCGTCTTCCGTTCCTCTTTCTCCTGCCTCTTCTTGCGCCTCTGGAATTGCGCCTGAAGGCGGTCGTTCTCCTGCTGGATGTCTGAGAGCGCAGCCAGCCAGCGCGCCAGAGCCTCCTTGCGCTCGCTGCCGCGTGCGAACGACGCCACCTCCTCTATCCGCCGTATTGCATGGCGGAAGCTGTTGTGCGGCCGACCCACCTGGAGGGGAGAGAGAGGGGTGGGAGGGAGGAAATGCAAGGGAGAATGAGGTTTCTTGTGCGTTGCTGTTGCCTGCTCGTACACCATCTAGGTGCCTCACCTTACTGCACCCCGAGCCTTCTGCAACCCCAACCTAGAGAGAGTTCCTACCTTCGAGAAAAAAACAAACAAAAACACACGAAAAGGGCGTAACTCACCACCGTGCTCTGCGCCTGCACATAAACCATCTTGAAGTTTCTCTCTACAGCACCCCTGGCCTTCTGCGCCCCTAACCTAGCTAATAAACTGGATAACTCACTGTTGCGTTCTCAGCCTGCTCGTACATCATCCTACTTCATCGCACCACTGCCTCCGTTTCCTTCTGCAACCCGAACCAATCTGAGGAAAATTTCCACCTCTGGCAGAGGAAAGAAAATAAAGGAAATTGAAAAAAAAAAAAAAAAAAAAAAAAATGTAGCTCACCACAGCGCTCTCCGCCTGCTCGTACACCATCTTGGCGCCTCGCTCAACGGCATCTCCGGCCTTCTGGACGACGGAACCCCTAGCACACATTCCCACCTCTGCCAGGAGAAAAACAAAACACACACTGAAACTCACCACAGCGCTCTCTGCCTGCTCGTACACCATCTTGGCGCCTCGCTCCACGGCATCTCCGGCCTTCTGCACCACGGACCCTGCGAACGTGCCCACCTTGGCCAGATTCGACCGAATCCACGACATTGCGGACTCGCTTTAAAGAGAAGGTGATAGTTGGTTGGTTGGGTAGGCGGAAGACGGTCAATGCCGGGTATAATCCGAGCTGTGACCTGTAAATCGAAAGCAGAGCTGTAAACCGCTAGCCGAGGGAAACCGAACCGTAAAGCTGGGCTGAAATTGCTCGCGAGACGCCGAGGAATATTAGAATGCCAGAATGATGCAGCGCTAGACGTAAGTCTACTTTGCTAAGCGTGAATTTCGAAGTAAGGATAACGCCTGAGGAGGTCCGAGGTGATGTCGCGGCATTACGTTTATAAATAGAAGTAAAGGCGAACAATGGGGATTCGACAAAATCCCGCGAAACTGCGAGACGGACAGGGACGGAATGGGATAAGTTATAGTTCTTATGGCTATACATGAGCTGCTAATGTGGGTCCAAACGCTTGCTGCTCAGTTCTGGAGATGGGAAGATATCACCCGAATCCCTCTGATCCCCCCTCTTTGCCCCTGCGGGATTTCCCTGGAGGGATTTCGCGTTTTCCCGCAGTCGCCTAGCGGGGCACGCGAGGGGCGGGAGCCGACCCCCCCCCCCCGCCCGAAAACGGGCACCCCCAGCTGGCGCCAGCTGCCAGCGGTCCCCCCCCCAACCGAACCGAACCCCACCCTCGGTTCGTAGACGGGTTCCGTCCGGTAACCCACGGAACCCTCGCCGGGCGTCGCCTCGCCGACAGAACCCGTCCGCGAATTATCGCGAGCGGACGGAAGCGACGCCCATCTGCGCCGCGCTCCACCGCTCTCGCCCTCGACAGAGCCCGTTTCGGTTGGCGCTCGACCGTGGTGATGTGTCGAACGCCCCCTCCCGCTCGAGGGGCCTTTCAGCTGCCCCCTCCCGCTCCTTGAGAGGGGCCTTTCAGCTGCATGCAGGGCTCCCCACCTCATGCAACCAACCACTAATACAGGGCCCCGCCGCCCTCTGCCATAAGCTCCTCCTACCGCCGTCGCGGAACGCGCCCTGCCTCGTCGCCCTTGCACCCGAGTCTGTTTTAGTGGAGGGGATGGCAAACAGCAAATACCCTGAGTGCGTTCTCATTTCGTTGCAGTCTCCGAGTTTTTCTTCCCTACTCCCTAGTTCCCAACTTCCCTGCGCTCCCGCCCTCCCTACTGCTATGCCTGTCATGGCTACGGGCCCCGCCTCCCTACCCGTCGTGAACGAGCCGACGGTTCGACGCGGCCTCATCCTAACCGCAGGCGGGATCGATGTAGAGGTGTTCGAAGACCAGTTGAATGCGCTTAACGAGGCGCCGAAGGCGGAGCTCGACGAGACAATGATGAACGCAGGCGTTGTGTACGTTTCCTGTCGAGCACTTTAGGTTTGCCATGTTTACCTGTCGCTGACTGTGCCTTAGCTTTCCGTGCAGCCTGTTTTCGAGGGAGCTGCTGTCCGTCGAGCAGCTCGCCAAGCTGTCGATCGTGACTTCAACGCGTGCGCATGAAGAGATGGCGCGTCCCACACCAGTCGCTTTTGCGAACAACCACCTCGACGGCCTGCTCGGCAAGCAAGTGATTCTCGTTCTGCTGCGGACCACGTGAGTTCGACACTATCCCGTCGCCTTGCGTGCTCCGTGTTTAGTACTAAACCCGTGCTCACATGCATTCGCTCTGCATGCAGCCTGACTGTGGCGCCGTTCTCCCACTCGAGCCTGTTTGTGGTATCGCGCCCCGACGATCTGCTGGCTCCGAGGCACCATGGCTATCGAACTCGAATGATGCACTTCGATTCGAAAGACAGGTTTCCCGCGGTGAACCACCAATCTTCGCTGGCGCATGAAGTTCTCGTGTGAGTGACCGATTTGCCACCCTGCTGTCGACTTGCCGTTCTCGACAATCTCCTACTCTCCTGTCCGTTGCTTTGCAATTGGATGAAGAAGCAGCTTCGCGCCGAGTACGCGACGACCCAGCGGGTTGTGACCGAGCACGAGCAGGAGGTGCTTAGGCTCATCGACCTGCGTCTGGACATGATCACGAGTTTTGATCATCTGGTAAGCCAACCCTTACACGTGCATGTTTTCGCCGAGCATGTTTGTTCTGTCGCTTACGTGTGTTCTATACCCGTCGCAGACGACGACGGCCCTGACGAGCCCCAGTGAACCCGGCACGGCAGCTCGTGTCGTGCATGGGGTGCGCCGGATTCTGTCGAACTGGGACAATTTCATCCTGCAGTCTCGACAGGGCGACCTCGTGATGCTCGGGAGAACGAGCCCTGGCCCGGGTTTGCTTCCGTCGTTCATGCTCAAACTGTTTTGGAAAAGGATGGAAGAGGCGGCGGAGGGAGTAGGAGTGGGAGGGGGTGCCGGACACGAGGGAGGAGGCGAGAGGGCGCCACGCGTCGTGGTTAAGTACAGCTACGAGGAGGAGGAGGAGATCGAGGAGGATACATCGAGGCAAGCTCAGCACGGGTTGAGCGGCCCGGGCGGCAATGCGGACGAGCAGGAGGGCTAGAGCTCGGAATCGAGCTCCGGCTCGAGCTCGAGCGATGAGTCGATCGAGCACGACGGCGAGGGTTTAGGGTTACATCCAGGTTGGACAGAGCGTACGGAGAAGCATGGAGTGGCGCTTGGGGAGCGGGTGGATGAGCAGCAGGCGACGGGGGACGATTGGGATGTCGAAGAGTAGGAGGGCGGAGCGGCTGGGCAGGATTTTGGGACAGGAGTGCAGCAGCAGGAGGGCGGGGCGGCTGCGCAGGAGGGTGGGGTCGGAGGGCAGCAGCAGGAGGGCGTGGTGGCTGCGCAGGAGGGTGGAGCGGGAGGGCAGGAGCAGGAGGGTGGGGAGGCTGCACAGGAGCGACTCGTCGCAGTAAGAAGGAGACACCGCACGGCCAGTGGCAGCGGACAGGCGGGCCCTTCGACGGCAGGCCATTCGACGTCGGCCATTGCATCCGGAGACCAGGTCGTCGAGCTACTGCAGAGGGTCGCGGAGGTCGAGGCGTCGCAGAAGAAGCTCGTCACCGACGTATTTGCGAAGCACAATGAGCAAGCCGCTGTTTTCAACAAGCTTGCTGGGGATTTTCGGACGGCCTGGAATATGATTTCGGAGTCGTCGAAGAGCACGCTGAAGCAGTGCGACGATGCCGTAAACGGTGTCACGGAAGAGAGGAAGCTGTTGGAAGGGGCACGCTAGAAGCTCGACGAGATGAGTGGGAAAATCATCGAGGAGGTGGCAGCCGCCATCACAAAAGCGAGCGAGGACGCGGTCGAGAAGCAGCTCAAGCTTGTCGAGGAGCGGCTGGTTGCTTCGGTCCTGAAGGGTATTGAGAAAGCCGACAAGGAGGACTTGTTCTACTCCACCCTCCCGCCCGAGAGCATGAAGGAGCTGAAGGACGTTGTGAGAGAAAGCTACCAAGAAGCTGAAGCTGGCAGATTGGAAGTCCTCACCAAAGCGATGGCAAGAGGGTTTCGGGGCTCGGCGGGCCCGTCGACGAGGTTGCGTCAGGAGGAGGGGGTGGCTGGTGTTCGCAGCGGGGTTGAGCGTCGAGTTCATGAGCGTTCGGTTCCTCCTTCTTCGGTGGGAGGACATGTCGGCAGCCCGGTAGCATCCCCACCGTCGCGTGCCCGTCAGACCATCGGCAAGTCCGTCGAGGACAAGGATGTCATCGTACTCGACCAATCGCCCCGTTAGCAGCCCTCCGAAGCGGCACCGAAGCCTCCGCCTGATGCTTTTGCTCCGCTGCGGGACATGCTGCAGGGCCTCAGGAAAAAGGGTGGGAAAGGAGTGGTTGTGGGGGAGAAAAATGGTGCCCCAATCGGCCAGGTCGCCTCAGCCGGGAAAGGAGCTATGGAAAAGCGCGGTGTCCCTACCCCGTCCGGCGGCGCTGCGGGGAAAGGAGCGGGGGAGAAACGGGGTGATGTCAGAACATTATAGCTTATACCTTTGTGTAGGCTGTAGTGGGGTAGCCCACAAGGGGTACAACCCAATTAGGGTTAGTACTTGTAACCTACTGATTGCTAGTCCATTCATTCTCGTTCGTTACTTTGACATGGAATAAGAGCAGGTTCCTTGGGCCCACCACTTGCTACGCTGCTAGTAACTCCCCCCTAGGCCCGTCGCCCCTAGGCCCGTCGATCCTAGCCTACGCGGCCCGTCGACCCCAGCGCCCGGCCCCGTCTCTAGCTCGCGCCCGGCCCCGTTCCTAGCCCGCGCCTGGCCCCGTCCCTAGCCCGCGCTCGGCCCCGTCGGCCCTTAGCCCCGCGCCCAGTCCCGTACCTAGCCCGCGCCCGGCCACGTACCTAGCCCGCGCCCGGCCCAGTACCTAGCCTGCGCCCGGCCCCATACGTAGCCCCGCGCCCGGCCCTGTTCCGCGCCCAGCGCCCGGCCCCGTACCTGCCCAGCGCCCGGCCCCGTACCTAGCCCGCGCCCGGCCCCGTACCTAGCCCGCGCCCGGCCCCATACCTAGCCCGCGCCCGACCCAGTACCCAGCCCGCGCCCGGCCCCGTACCTAGCCCGCACCCGGCCCCGTTCCGCGCCCAGCGCCCGGCCTCGTTCCGTACTCAGCGCCCGGCCCCGTACCTGCCCAGTGCCCGGCCTCGTCCCTAGCCCAGCGCCCGGCCCCGTACCTAGCCCGCGCCCGACCCAGTACCCAACCAGCGCCCGGCCCCGTACCTAGCCCGCGCCCGGCCCCGTACCTGCCCAGCGCCCGGCCTCGTCCCTAGCCCAGCGCCCGGCCCCGTACCTAGCCCGCGCCCGGCTCAGTACCTAGCCCGCGCCCGGCCCCGTACCTAGCCCCGCGCCCGGCCCCGTACCTAGCCCGCCGCCCGGCCCCGTACCTGCCTAGTGCCCGGCCCCGTCCCTAGCCCAGCGCCCGGCCCCGTACCTAGCCTGCGCCCGACCCCATACCTAGCCCGCGCCCGGCCCCGTACCTAGCCCGCGCCCGGCCCCGTACCTAGCCCAGCGCCCGGCCCCGTACCTAACCCGCGCCTGGCCCCGTCCCTAGCCCGCGCCAGGCCTCGTCCCTAGCCCGCGCCCGGCCCCGTTCCTAGCCCGCGCCCGGCCCCGTCGGCCCCTTGCCCCACGGTCACTGCTGCTACTGCTACAGCTGCTACTGCTGCTGCTACTGCTGCTGCTATTGCTGCTACTGCTATCCTGCGTGCTCCACAACTATGGCTTCGCTTCGGGTTCTCGCGTTTGATCATGAGGGCAGACCGGTTCAGTTTGACACGTGGCTAGACGACCTGCAGCTGTATCTACTGAGCGATTCTAAGGACAGTGTCTCGCTGTTTGACCTAGCGTCAGGCGCTGCTACTGCCCCTCCCGCCACAGCTGACAGTTCGACTCGCTCACAGTGGCTTACTCGTGACGCTGCTGCCCGCTTAGCCATTCGCAAGCACCTGCCATTAGCTGAATGCGCTCACTTCGGACAGCACAGGACAGCGCAGGCACTATACGACGCTTTAGTCGCTCGCTACTCCTCCCCTGCCACTGCTACTTTAGGCCGCCTTCTTCTGCCCTACCTGTTCCCTGAGCTGTCCGCTTTTGCCACAATTGAGGACCTTGTTTCCCACCTTCGCGCTAGTGACGCTCGCTACCGCGCTGCCGTTCCTGCTGAGTTCCTTGACAGGAACCCGCCCCCCATGTACATCACTCTCTAATTTATAGTCACCCTCCTCCCAGACTCTCTTCGCTCTGTCGGGGACCACTTCCTCTCTCTTGACCCCACCTCCCTCACTGTTGACCTCCTTGAGCAGCATCTCCTCGTAGCTGAGACTAGTGCAGTTGCTGTAGGTGCTGCCCGTGGCACTCCGCGCCCGCCCTTCTTTGAGGGTGTTCCCCCTCCCCCCTTGCCCCCTCCTACGAGATGGTGGTGGAGGTGGCAGCGGGAGTGGTGTTCCCGCTGCCACCTCCACCACCACCACCTCTACTGTTGCTACTGCTGCTGCTGCAGACGTCTCTGTTCCTGAGGACGTCGGGGCTGCTTCTGCTAGTGCGAAGCGCCGCAGCAGCAAGGGCAAGTGTGGCAGGGGTGGTGGAGGTGGCAGCGGCGGTGGTGGAGGTGGTAGCGGGAGTGGTGGTGGGGGCAGCAGAGGAGGTGGTGGCGGCGGTGGGACTGTTGGCGGGAGTGGGGGCTCTGGTGGTGGTGGTGGAGGCAGCGGAGGCGGTGGGACTGGTAGCGGTGGGACTGGCGCTCGGCGTGTCGGTTCAGGGGGTGGCCAGCGTCAGCAGCAGCAGCGTCGGAGCGAGACCCCGTCTCCCCAGCAGCTTCGTGAGTGGTTTCTTCGTGGGGCGTCTGGGGGTAGTTGCCCATATGTCATTCGCACAGGTGACCGTGCTGGTCAGACTTGCGGGTGGCTCCACACTCAGCACCGCTGCTTCTCTCGTCTCGACGACGCTTGGCGTGCTGAGTTTGGTGACGACGTCGAGCTCCCTCGCTGGGCAGATCTGCTTAAGTCTAGGATTGCTATCTTTGACCTAGACTTTGATGCTATTTTTTCTGCTATGTATGCTTTGTCTGTTAGTGCTGAGGGTGACTGTTACCGGTGTGTGCCGCCTGACCCAGGTATCGCCGCTGCTGCTCTAGGTGCTAGTGAGTTTGGTACTCTCCCTGGTACTGCGCCTACTGAAGCCTTGCACACTTTCACGTTGGATTCCGGCGCCTCGCGCTATTTCTTTCGTGACAGCACCACCCTCACTCCTCTTCCTGCACTTGTCCCGGTCAGACTGGCTGACCCCTCCGGGGGTCCGGTCGTGGCCCGTTCCTCCACTGTCCTCCCATGTCCGGCGGTTCTGTCCGGCTCACTGTCAGGTCTTCACCTCCCCTCGTTCTCTACGAACTTGGTGAGTACCGCTGCTCTCCAGGATGCGATGGTCACTACCACCACTCCTGGGGGTCAGCGTGTGTCGATCTGCACGTGCACATGGACGGGGCGTCACCTGGCCACGTTCACCCGTCGGCCAGGGTCGAGTCTGTACACACTCGCTAACGAGCCTTCTCAGGTAGCTGCGTCTGCTCAAATGTCCGCGTCAGGTCAGGTAGCCGCCTCTTGCTCGTGTCGCCTCCTGTCGCACCAGATTCTTCTGTGGCACCACCGTCTGGGTCACCCCTCCCTGCCTCGCCTTCGTGGCATGCACTCTCGTCTTCTTGTTTCTGGTCTTCCCAGGTCTCTGCCTCCCCTCCCGCCCTCGCCTGCTCTGCCCTGCCTCCCTTGCGTTGAGGGGCGGCAGCGCGCCGCTCCTCGCACCTCCTCGTTTCCCCGGACGACTGCTCCCCTGCAGACTCTCCACATGGACGTGTGGGGCCCAGCCCGCGTCAGTGGACAGAGCCGCGAACGCTACTTCCTGCTGGTCGTTGACGACTACTCGCGGTACACCACAGTCTTCCCCTTGCGCAGCAAGGGTCAGGTCGTTGATGTCTTGATCCCTTGGATCCGCACAGTCCGTCTCCAGCTCCGCGAGCGATTCGGCCAGGACCTTCCTGTCCTGCGTCTACACTCTGACAGAGGTGGTGAGTTCTCCTCCAACCTCTTGCGGGACTTTTGTCGTGGGGAGGGCATTCTCCAGTCGTTCACGCTTCCGGACTCCCCTCAGCAAAATGGGATTGCTGAGCGCCACATTGGCTTAGTCATGGAGGTCGCTCGTACCTCCATGATCCATGCGGCTGCTCCCCATTTTCTGCGGCCGTTTGCGGTCCAGTACGTTGCGCATCAGCTCAACCTCTGGCCTCGTGTCTCCTTGCAGGAGACCTCGCCCACACTGCGTTGGACGGGGGAGGTTGGCGATGCGTCGGTGTTCAGGGTCTGGGGATCTCGTGCCTTTGTTCACGATACGTCAGCGGACAAGCTCTCCCCCCGTGCTATCCCCTGCATCTTCCTTGGCTTTGTCCCCGACGCGCCTGGCTGGCAGTTTTACCACCCCACCTCGCGTCGTGTCCTCCTTTCTCATGACGTCACGTTTGACGAGTCGGTTCCCTTTTACCATCTCTTCCCCTACCGCTCTGCTCCTCTCCCGCCCCCGCCGCTCTTCCTTGCTCCCGGTCCCCCTTCGATAGACCCCCTCCCGCCCCAAGGTCCTGCTCCCTCAGGTGTGTCTCAGGTGGACCCTCTCCCTGGTCCTGCGCCTGTTCAGGTAGCTGTTGACTCAGGTGCTGCTCGAGGTGCTGCGTCTGGGGGTGCTGAGTCTGGGGGTGCGGAGCCTGGGGGTGCGGGGTCTGAGGGTGCTGAGACTGGGGGTGCTGAGCCTGGGGGTGTTGAGACTGGGGGTGCTGAGCCTGGGCGTGTTGCGACTGGGGGTGGTGAGCCTGAGGGTGTTGAGCCTGGGGGTGCTGCGTCGGAGGGTGCGGATTCTGGAGGTGCGGAGCCTCAGGGTGCTGCTTCGTCTGGAGTTTCTGCTGGTGCTTCGCCGAGCCTGTCTCCGCAGCAGTTGCGTGAGTGGTTTGTTTGGCGTACTCGCCTTCGGAGTGGAGCTTCTGGAGCTGGAGGTGCTGGCCCTGCTGGAGCTGGAGGTACTGGAGTTGCTACTGGAGCTGGAGGTACTGGAGTTGCTACTGGAGCTGGTGTTACTGGAGGTGCTGCGACCACTGGTCTTGGAGGTGCTCGTACCCGGGGTACTGGAGCTGCCGGGACTGGTGGTGTTGAGGGTGCTGGAGCTGGAGACCTCACGGAGTCTGGTACTACTGGCGCTGGTGGCGC